TCTGTTCTCTAGCCACAAAATTAAACTAGAAATCAATTACTGAAAAGTATCTGAAAAATCCCTAATATTTGTAGACTGAATAACATAATTTTCAATAACCCATAGATCAAAGAAGAAATCAAAAGAAAATTAGAAAGTATTTTAAACTGAATGAAGATGAAAACATGACATAAGAATTTGTGGTAGGCCACTAAAGCAGTAATTAGAGTGAAATTTATACCAGTAAAGGCCTATATTAGAAAAGAAGGTCTCAAATCAACAATCCCAGCTTCTACATTATGACAGCAGAAAGAGAGACGCAAATTGTATCCAAAATAAGCAGAATAAAGTAAATAACAGAGATCAAAGCAGAGGTCACAAGAGAGAAAACAGACAAATAGAGAAAAACTAATAAAACCAAAAGGTGGCTCTTTGGAAAGATCACAAAATTAATAAGCTTCTACCTAGACTGATCAGGAAAAATAGAAGACGCAGAGTAACACTGTCAGAATTGAGAGGGGTGACTACAACTACACAGACATTACAAGAACATTGAGACAACATCATGAGCAAGTTTATGCTTACAAATCTGACAACTCAGAGTAAATAAATTCCTTGAATGACGCAAACCACCAAAGCTCGCTCAAGAAGAAATGAGTAACTTGCACTCAGAGTTTTACTTTATGAGTACTTTTACTTTCCTTTACTCTTTAATAAAGAGATGAATATCTACATGTCTATTTTTTAAAAAAAGAACTTAGGGACTTCCCTGGTGGCGCAGTGGTTAAGAATCCACCCGCCAATGCAGGAGACACGGGTTTGAGCCCTGGTCTGGGAAGATCCCACATGCCGCGGAGCAACTAAGCCTGCGCACCACAACTACTAAGCGTGCGCTCTAGAGCCCACGAGCCACAACTACTGAGCCTGCCTGCCGCAACTACTGAAGCCTGTGCGCCTAGAGCCCGTGCCCCGCAACAAAGAGAAGCCACCACAATGAGAAGCCCACGCACCACAATGAAGAGTAGCTCCCGCTCGCCGCCAACTAGAGGAAGCCCGTGCGTAGCAACAAAGACCCAACACAGCCAAAAATAAATAAATTTTTTTTTTAAAAAGAATAATTTATAGAGGTTAAAAATCTCCCCACAAAAGCAAACTCCAGGCCTAGACAGCTTCACTGGTAAATTCTACAAAACATCTTAAGAAAAAATAATACCAATTCTGAACAAACTGCTCCAGAAATGTGAAGAAAAGGAAATATTTCCCAACTTATTCATTCCATGAGGCCAGCATTACCCCAATATCAAAACTAGACACATTATAAGAAAATACAGACCAATATATCTCATGAACATAGATGCTTGCCTAAACATTTGAAAACCAATTAATATAATTCATCATACTATTAAACTAAAAAAGAAAAACTATATGACAGTCTCAATAAATCCAAAAATAATCTGACAAAATCTAACCATTGTCCATTAACCATCTAACCATTATCTACCATTCCTGATAAAAATTTTTGGAATAGAAAAGAACTTCCTGAGATAGATAACAGAAAAAAAAAAAAAAAAAGAATCAACAAACCAGCTTGAGAGAATTTCCTAATCTTTTTTTTTTTTTTTTTTTTTTTTGGAGAGTTATGTTTTATTAGGCTGGAAGTTTTAAGATTTCAAGCCCGGGAGGCAGCATCTCAGGTAACCCTGAGAGAACTGCTACAAGGAGACGAGGAGGGGATGGTACGCGGGCCTCTCACTGTTGTGGCCTCTCCCGTTGCGGAGCACAGGCTCCGGACGTGCAGGCTCAGTGGCCATGGCTCACGGGCCTAGCCTCTCCGTGGCGTGTGCGATCTTCCCGGACCCGGGGCACAAACCCGTGTCCCCTGCATTGGAAGGCGGACTCTCAACCACTGCGCCACCAGGGAAGCCCCAAGAATTTCCTAATCTTGATAAACAGTGTCCACAACAAATCTACAGCTAAGATTGATTATGATTAATGATAAAAGACTGCTTTCCCCCTAAGATCAGGAACAGGACAAGGATATCTGCTCTCACCATTTCCAGTCAACACTGTACTGGACAGTTTAGCCAGTGCCATCAGGCATGAAAAGAATTTTAAAATGCATCCAGATAGGAAAAGAAGTAAATCTATCTTTATTTGCAGACATCAGGATCATGTATGTCAGGAGTCAGCAAACTACGATGCAAAGGCCGTATACATCCTGCTCCCTGTTTTCTCTTGCTGTTGTTTGTTTATTTGGATAAATAAAGTTTCACTGGAACATAGCCCCAACCCATTCATCTACTTACTGCTCTCACCCCAAAGCGGCAGAGTAGGGTAACTGAGACAGAGGCGTCATGGAAAGGAAACACAAGAAAAGATGCTCCCCATCTTTAGCCATTATTGAAATGTAAGTTAAAGTAATGAGACACCACTACACACCTATTAGGATGGTTAAAACTAAAAAGACTGACTAGGTCAAGTCTTTTCGCAACAAGGATGCGAAAAACTGGATTTCTCATCCACTGCAGGTGGGAGTGTAAAATGGCACAATCACTTTGGAAGTGAGTTTGGCAGTTTCTTTAAAATTTAAACACATACCTATCATTTGGTTCATTTTATTTATCTATATATCATTCTCTTCCCAGATACCCACCAAAGAGAATGATGTTCAAAGAAATACTTGTACACAAATATTCACAGCAACTTTATTTGTAATAGCTGAAAACTGGAAACACAAACAACCATAAACAATGAACAGATGAACAAAGTGCAGTTACTTCCATTCATCAGTAAAAAGAAGTGAATTACTGATGCTGCTGCAACATGGATGAATCTCAAAATAATTATCCTGAGTGAAATAAGCCAGATGAGAAAGAGTACCTATGGTATGATTCCATTTACACAAAGCTCTGTGGAATCCAAACCAGCGTGCAGTGAAAGAAAATAGTCAGTGGTTGCCTGGGGCCAGGGCAGGATGGGCTGGGCTGGGGATGGTGGGCAGAGAGGAAGGGGCACTAGGAAACTTGGTAGCGGTGGACAGGACCAAAATCCTGACTGTGGCAGAAGTCAGAGGAGTTCAGGTACAGTCCAAACTTATCAAACTACACTAAATACGTGTGGTTTATTATATGTCAATTACATCTCCACTGTTTTCTAAAAGTTTCCAAAACTGAAAAACAGGTTCAGGTGGGTGGCTCTGTGACATGGTGACCTGCAGAATAAGGATGCAGCAGCTCTAAGCCAGAGCCCTCGCTCCCAAGACTGGGCACAGGTACAGAGGTACCCGAACTTTTTCCTTTCTGAGGAGCTTAGGGCATAAGGATACAGGACTAACACGGCTGCCTGAAGATGCTGCTTTGTCCTCACTACACCTTTCCTACGCCAGGGCTGCACGCCTGCCTGCACCCCACACATCCATTGTTTAACTCAGCTACAGAAAGACACCAGCGACAATTCAAGCACCTTCATTTCTGTCCTTCTACATGACACTATGGGTGAGTAAAATCATAGTTTTCAAAAGGAAGGAGCTCCTAATTTTTCTCAGACCGTGTAACAATCTTCCCCACACAGCCAGAATTAAGTTTTGGGCCCTGTCTTTGAACTTTAAAATGGGACCCTACAATGTACCAAGGAATAAAGCAAAGAATGGGAAAGTGCAGAAATGGTTAAAAATCACAAGTTAAAAGCAAACTATAAGGACTTCCCTGGTGGCACAGTGGTTAAGAATCCACCTGCCAATGCAGGGGACACGGGTTCAAGCCCTGGTCTGGGAAGATCCCACGTGCTGCGGAGCAACAAAAAGCCCGTGCGCCACAACTACTGAGCCTGCACTCTAGAGCCCATGAGCCACAACTACTGAGCCCGAGTGCCACAACTACTGAAGCCCACGTGCCTAGAGCCTGTGCTCCACAACAAGAGAAGCCACTGCAATGAGAAGCCCACGCACTGCAGTGAAAGAGTAGCCCCCGCTCGCTGCAACTAGAGAAAGACCACGTGCAGCAACGAAGACCCAATGCAGGCAAAATAATAAATAAAATTTTTAAGAAAGCAAACTATATAAAATAAACAACAAGGTCCCACTGTATAGCACGGGGAATTATACTCAATGTTTTATAATAACCTGTAAGGGAAAAATATCTGAAAAAATATATAACTGAATCACTGTACTATATACCTGAAACTAACACAACATTGTAAAACAACTAGACTCCAATTAAAAAAAATTACATGGCACATATACATGCACCTTAAATGTATTTGATTTTCATTTCTCAAAAATAAATAAATAATTTGCAAAATGAAATGGAAAAAGCAAACTGGAGCTTCGAAAGAAATGTGTTGTTCTCATTCCAGATAAATAATAAAGCAGGAATCTGTGTTCTTTTTAGATAATTTGTCTCAGCAGACAAGTGTTGCATTTTTTCGTTTCTGTAGATCCATAAATTAACAGGATACCCACATGCCCAATCTCCCACTGTTATAACTCAGGCCCAGCGTATTCCCTGAGCCAAGCAGCTCGGCTACCCGGGCCCAGCCTCTCTTCCCTTCTCCCCAGCCTCCTCATCACATGAAGGCGAGGGCGGTTTCAGAACCAAGGAAGACAGCAGGTCTCTAAAAACAGAAAACAGCTTGTACGTGACAAGCAGCCCTCTCATGTGGCAACATTTAACACAGGAAAGCAATTTTAAATGAGCTGTACACGCGGGAACAGGAATGACATGCAGGTTCCAAGTCAAGACTACAGCCATACACTAAAAAAGAATGCAGTGCGTGTGTGTACATGACATGAATTACAGATGTCCACACAGATACAGGGCTGCGCGCCCTCTCTCACACACGCATGCACACCGACGTCCTCAGGAGCATGCCTGCGTGCCAAGCACCGGCCCCTGCAGGCTCTCCCTGGGCTCTCACAGTCCTCCGGGCAGCCCCGTGAGGCAGCACTGTGATGACCGCCCCCCAAACAGAGAGGAGGGCCCGCGGAGAGGCCCCGCGGGGAGAGGGTCGGCGCGGCCCCACACGTGCGCTCTCGCCCGGGCTGCTGTCCTGCCGCGTGCAGTACCACGCATGCTGCCGCCAAGGAGTACCAGCTCGCCTCCTGCTGGGACACACAAACGAAGAGCGGGACCGCAAGGTGGTCTTAGAGCTAACGGGAGCCTGATGACAGGTTTTTTCATCCTTCTACCCCCACCCCCCACCCCGTTCAGCGTACAGCTTCCTGAGGGATCTTCCTCGTCATCTGGGCCTGAAAAGCACTGTGCTTCCCCTGCGTGACGCCCCCACGTCATCAGGAAAGGCTATATGGGTGGACCCTGGGCCCTGGGGGGGGGGGGGCGGGTG